GGGGGCGGCCCGGAGCCGGGCCGGGCGGGCCGAAGGAAGCGCTGTGTTTGTCCCTCTCATATTCATGCGGGGTCCAGGGAGCGGCGGGGGCCCGGGACTCGTGGTGGCCGCAGACACGCCTGCTGTCTTGTCCAGCCGGCGCACTGTTATTGGTCTTATTTGATCCGTGAAGTGGAAAGTGGAAGAAAGGGATAACTCGACTTATCCAAATGACCTCTTGTTTGACTGTTGCAGCCGTTTGGCTCCCCAGGCTAAAATAATCATGGGTAACTATGTCACGAAAACGTCACATTGACGTAAAGTCGTGATTGATTCAAGTCAAGATTAGGCAAAAAAAAATATGACATAAAACAGGCTATGTTGGCGTCAATATCCTTTTCCTGACGTTTTCCTGTTTGTTCCGGGCGCTTCTAAGCGTTCACGCTTGTACACTTTTACGCTTTCTCACTCGGCTTCACTCGGCCTCACTCGGTTTCACTTCACTTCTCACTTGACCTCACTTTTCGACTAACTGGATATCTTCTTCGTCACGTTGAAACGAATGTGACATGGTATTTTAAAGATTGTGACACAATTCACATTATATTGAATGTGACGTCACAGTATATAATAACAGTGACGTAGGAGTGGTTCACAGGATTTGCAGTAGGCGTTTCGTTTTCCAAAAGAAGTGAACCCGAGGGGGTCACGATGACTCCCGTAAATCTATGTACAGAAGACAGAGTAATCCCTATATAGGGATATATGACATATGTCATCCCTACATAATCCGTTTACAAAAATGAGATGAACGAAATGTGGATGAACTGCGGCTGTAGATGGCGCTTAGGGATCGTGGGGATCGCCCAAGTTCATTTGGCAAATTACGGGAGCTCGGCGCCTGCAAGACTCGGGGTAGGCCAGCCCGCAGTACCCACATGCACTGCAGGAGTTGTTGCCTACCTATCAGGCGCTATGAGAGCATGCAGAGGCTTAACTTAGGAATTTCGTTACGCAAATAACGGACGTAAGTACTTTCTAGGTGAACCCTTCGCTAGCCAGACCATCAGATGCAGGTATTTATGGATGGGATCTGGATAAGATCTGGACATCCAAATCCCCAGTACCATCAGGGTCTCCTATGGGCGAAAATCCTTACTCCAGGATATCTAGTGAATCTCTAGTTCCGCCCGCCTTGCTCTGTCCAACTCCCCCTCCCTCTTGCCTCTTGTTCTTTCTCACTCGTGGTTGCCCCCCTCACCCCCAGACAGACAGACAGACAGTGCTCTGTCCAACTCCCCCTCCCTCTTGCCTCTTGTTCTTTCTCACTCGTGGTTGCCCCCCTCACCCCCTCTTTTTCTTCCTTCTCTCCTCCTCGGGACAACAGCTGAAACCGGTGTATGTTATTTACCCCTCTTCGCTGGCGGAAATTACAATTTTCAAACTTTACAGAGAACGTTTTGTTGGCGCGGCCGCCGCCTTTGCTCCCCGCCTCGCTCCCCTCGCACCCCGCGGAAGGGTTCTGATCGTGCATCCCCTGTGACGAAACAGGGAAGCGAACGCAGAACCAGGGAAGAGACTATACGGGGCTGGCTGGCCGGCCGGGAGCGGTGCGGGGCGGGGCTGAGCTCCCGGCCCAACACCTCCCCCTCCCGCGCCCATCCTCAGTCATTATCCAATAATTGTTATTTACCACCCTCTGGGTCGGATTGTTTTAGTATTCCGGACTCGACACTCTGCCGCCGCCGCCGCTGCTGTGAGTCGAACGCTGGGGTGGCGAAAGGGAGGGGAGCGCCGTTTGGGTGCCGGGGGAGGGGAGGGGGGAGGGAGAGGAGGCAGGAGAGAACAGAGGTGTGTCGTTGCGCCCAGTGCGTCACGCGTACAAAAAGGTCAAGCTTTCATACGCTTTGAAGATAACCTACGCTCGCTGCTGGGCCGAGTAAGTGCCCGCATCCTTTAACGGCGTGGTTGGCATTATTTCACTCACATTCTTATCTTTGGCTGAATTATTTCATCACGTTAAGTACACCTCCGTCGTCACCTCCCCCACGCGGCAAAGTGTGGCCTCGTTGGGCGTCGCGTTTGAGCACAGGACTGAACGTGATCACAGCAGCTGGTGGGGCGCCCCCATGGCCCCTGTTAGCAGGCGTACCCGCCCACCCCGCACTGGTGCGCGCACCGAAACACCCGTTACGGCACCTATCCTCAAGTAGTGGGAAGGGGGGGGGGTGGAGCAACGCGACGGATTCTTCTCCTCCCCCCTCGCCACCCCCGCTGGCTTGTGTCTTTCTTATTCCTGGGGAAGGGCGCCGCCGGGCGGAGACAACTCAGTTAGCCCTGATTAACGGGCCTTGACGTGAGGCGGCCGCTCTCCCTGCTACCGCCGTTCCACTCGTGGCTAAGGAGCTAGTTCGAAATATAATATAAATGGCCTTGTAAGTTGGCTGCACGACAACTGTCAATAATAATGATGTCTACAACTGTGTTGGTGACAAATAAGAAAGTCAGTTGTTCTTGCTACTGTTCGTCACTGTGCCCAGTACTTACTTCTCTCTCATCCTGCCCCGCCTGCTGCCCACTTTACCTACGGTCACGTCCCGACACGCCAGGACCATCTACAACAGAACTATCTCTCCCTACTTTTGCTCGACCTACGAGGCGCGACAGGAGCAGACAGCCATGTAGTGTGGTTATTTGCTCGGGGGAAAGTCGTCAGGGGTGGACCGGGTAGGGGGGGGAAGGGTGCTCACGGGTCGCAGCCTTTGCACGGCGTAACGAACCTAACGGAGTTACCTTTCAAAACGCAGCCGCGAGGTCTCGGTCCGGTCCTTGGTCCAGCCCCAGGCGCCCCCCCCCCCTCTTCCCTCAACCCTTCCCCACGCGGCTCTTCATCCCTCCCCTACATTGTCTCTGCTCTGACACTGCGTTGAGCAAAAGGCTGATGTAACGAAAATCACTATGCCGTCGATTTAGGTCGCAGTAGCTTTCTCCCGCCTGCACCAAATTGAATGATTTTTAGGATTAGGATTCAAAATAATGTCATGTAAATTGAAAAAAAAAACCATTTTATGAGAATAATGTGATACATGTAACAATTGTTTTAAATTTAAAATTAGAAAGTAATCATAAAGATGAACAAACATCAAGTTAATCTCCCACAACATTTTTATTTTCAAACTGAGTGGCCGTAATTACTTGCATCCTTTGCCTCTTGTTTTGTACCTGACAAGCGGTACACACAACCGTACTAAATGCATCTTTTTTTTTGAACGACTAGAGGAAAATTAAGAATTGCACAAAAGACTGCCAAAGACAGCCATAGGTCAAACTAAAAACTCAACATTTTCTCAATTACCCTGTTCCTTCCTAGTTCCCAATAAAAGGCTAAGTAAATTGCATTTTCTACTAATGAAGAAAAACTAAAAGGAAGTTATGATAACACATTGAAAACAGGAGTAGTAAGGAAGTTGTACACCAAAATTAGTAAATAAAACTTCAGACGTAAATGCATCCCAGTCTATCTATTCTTTCCCCAAGTAAAGCCAGCAGTTGAGTCGGCTTTTCTCTTCACACAAACAATATGAGAATAGAATAGGAAGGATTATTATTTCATTATATATAACTAATTTAGCCTAAATATTTGTTTGTACTATTACAATACAACCATACAATTTTGATCTCCAAGGGATGACACTCAATACTAAAACTTATTGTCTTGTGTTACCTTAAAAAAAAAAAAAAAAACTTTTGGCTTTGAGCACAAGAGTTACTATAATACCACTGTATTGTAGAGCTGTGGCACCAATTCATTAAAAAAAGTTCATGGTTCCACATCCATGGCGTTTTGAGCAAGGTGTAAAATACTACCTCAAAGACTAGCACTTAAGCATCTCCATTAAGCCAACTTGAGCAAAACAGCACAGTATCTTTATATTCATGGTGAAGCACATAATTTTAAAAACCACAAAAAATCAGGGGGATAATCACAGAGATATGTTTGTAAAATTAAAATGGGATTACTAATACAGTCTAACAAATGTGCTTAAGGACAACAAGCAAAAATACACAAAACAAATTGCAATGTAATTAAGGCACATTATGTCTGATCTATCAAAGTTGATTTCTTTTTTTTTTTTTTTGGCAATATCAAATGTTCACAATGTGCTTCCAAAAGGGTCGCTCTGAGCACTAAAAAGGAATCATAGTGCCATGGATCGGGGGCGACATTTCTGTTGTGCCCCAGTTATCTTCTGTCATTGATCATTTGAGTAGTATGAAACATGAACTACATCACCACCAACATTGATAAGACATTGACCCTACAACAACAAAAAAAGGGAAGAAAAAAATTATAAAAGATGAAATAGAAAATTGTATTTTGTTAGAAATTAATTTAAGAACAGCTACCTGATTTTTATGAGGGTTGTGAAGTAAAACATTTTCAGATATGAAATAAGCAACCATTGCATTCCCTCCAAGTGCAGTGACATGAGCACGAACAATGGCTAAAACTTCTGCTATAAAACTATGAACAAAACCGCTCAAACCACCGCTCTGAAAATCATAATATATTTTATGCTTAGTAGCTGAACTCTTATTGGAAAGGGAAGGTACCATTCACAAGATGAAATACATTACCTCACGGATAGCTGTGCTTTCACGTATGAAAAAGAAATTAAGGTTTCCAAGATAACGTTCTATTTTCCCACCAGGTATGTATGAGAGAGGTGTTATGTCAACACCATAACGCTCTCTTGGAGGTGTCTGGATTATAAAAAGAAACAGAAATATTACTAGAAAAAATACAACTAAATCCCTTTTATATGTTTGAGGATAAGCATACATGTCTTAGCTTGGGTGGATTTTTTAAGCGTTGATCTAGTGTTGTTGCACGATGAGGTGACTTAGGTCGATGTTTATTACTGTTTGTCAGAGCTGCAGAACTAGCAGCTACCACTGCTGCTGCAGCTGCTGCACCTGTTGTATCCTCTAACACAACATCTTCCTCCAAACTAAAAATAAGATCATTATCATCTGTGGAAAGAAATGTATTGTAAAATAGAAGATGAAGTATTGATTTTTATATGTTACTGAAAAATGCTCAAACCTTTTTTAAGGTGCTCCTTGCTTGTGGATGGCGGGACAGCTTTCCTTTTCGACTTTGTGGTTTTCTCTGTTTCGCCCAAGCCTAGAGCCATTCCTGGAAAATTAGAAAATTCAAAACTGATTAGTATATTTTAAAAGTGTGAGGATATTGCAAACTACTTGTGGTAGTCCACAATAATTTCATTCATACCCAGAAGCGAAAGTTGCAATTCATCAGGTTCAGGTAGTTCCACGAAAAATTGTAGCTGTCCTAAAGCACAAGGAACCATTCGACGTAACTTAAAATAGACACTATTCAGCATGCGATGGAAATGCTTTGAAAAAACCATAGGAGGCATTGACGGTGTGACTTTGGCTCGCCAAACTTGGGTGAACATTTGCAAATTCCGTACTACTTCCATTTCTTCTAGTCCAGGAACTACTTCAGTGTTTACAACAAAAAAACCATCAGGTGGATGTGGATCCATAAGCAATGAAATGACATCAACATCTTCATTGTCATCTACCTGTAAAAAATATGATTCGATCCATCAGCAACTGATTAGATGACAACTAATTTTTAGTAACTTAAAAATGTACGAAACAAACCTCCATCACGCAAGTATCCTTATTTCCAGTTGCTAGATCCATTTCAGGAAGGTCATCATCAGAATCCTCTGTATCTGACTGATTAGATCGTCCATTCACAGAGTTTTCCCCTTCCTATGAAAGGATATGGTTAGTTAGATACCGTAATAAAATAAGTAGTATCTATGCACACATATAGACATTAAGGTAAAGCAAACGACCACTATTTCAGATATTGACATCGGCACGCTTTGAAAAATGTACTTCTAGTACAGGTGATTAATCGGACCAAAACCGTCTTGCTGTGCACCTCCAACTTCAGGGTCAGAACTCTGAAGATGCATTCTGCTAGAAGTACATTTTGCAAAGCCAATATTAATATCTATCTGAAATCAAATAGTAATTTTTTTCTCTACCCTATCAGACATTTCTCTACAACTATTATCAGTGAAGTGAACTGTTATGCAGCAAGAACTACTTACACATATTGGTTTTAATTGATATATTTCCCTGTTTCTTTTGACTGTTTCCGCAAGTGTCTTTTGAACTTCAAGGAGTCTTCGCTCATCACTCCACGAATTTCCAGCAGTAATTGTAGGAACAGGAGGAGCAGGTAAAGGAGTAAGAAACATAGCAGTACCAGTGGCCAAACCAACTAGCATCCTTTCTCCAATGGAAACTTGGACCTGTTAATAGAAAATCATTTACAGGGTAGAAGGAAATAATATTGTGTGTTGTTTGAATTTTTCTCAAAATGTTACAATTTACGACATACCCTCAAACCAAATATGGAATTCATTCCTTTAACTTTTAACTTGTTCAATAGCATTCGGTGCAATTCATATTCCAGAAATGGCAAACCATCAGAAATTTCTTTGGCATTTAGCTCTCCCTTAGCATCTCGCTTAGGACGGCAGACATATGCCTGAAGCAAGCAACCTCGTCCAGTAACAGGTATTCCTTCAGGCGGTTCCATTGTTGTTAAAAGAACATCAGGCACTTTACCTTTCCTATAAGTACCGACCAAAACCCAAATCGAACAAAACAGTTTTAAAGAGAATATTCAAAATATATGAAAGCAAAGAAATAAATAAATTTAATCTGGACACACATACATACCTGCACATGGCACATTTCATCATCTTTACTCTAAAAGGTACACTTGATTCTGAATAAGGTATGTGGCACATGACGCACCCAGGAGGGGTGTCACCATCACCACTCTCAGATAAACAACGACTTTTTCCCTGAAAATAACAATAATACCTAATTATTCTTTTCTAATCTTCTTTAAAACAATGGGAGATATGCCCGAATAGAGTTTTCTTCATACAGAAGTTGTGATAAAAAATACAACTTACCCCAGAGGTTGATTCTACTTTGCCACCTGATGAGCCACGATCCTTTTCAAAATCATTTCTATCTAGAGAGGTGGTCATAGTCACACGGTCATGAGACACCTTAACTGTACTAGCCTGCTTCTGCACCTGCGCAACCGGTGCGGTTGTTTGTGCTTGTGACAATGATGGCTGAGGTTGTCCTTGATTTGGTAAATGTTGCTGTTCCTTCGCGGCGACAGCACTTTGTTCCCCATTGCTCTGATCAATCTGAGCAGAAGGTTGAGCTGAAATTTGGGGTACTTGAGAGCCCTGGGATAAAACCTGTCCTTGTTGATGTTTCTCAGTAGCTGCTGTGTTAGCGCCTCCCCCTGACGTGTCAAGATCAGATGAACTGTATTGTAAGCTGATGACAGCTGCTGTACCAGCAGCACTTAGCACACAAACATCATCACTAAAAAAAACATGAAAATAAATTAACTGCCAAATTAATATTTGCTTCCAGTGCCTCATTAAGAATGTTAAAATATTTAATACCATATGCTTGTGTGTTCCGAATATCCTAACACAACATTGCATCCAAGAGCTCGTGCGTGAGAACGAACTTCCATCCTTAACTCTTTCCACCATGTGTCCCGAGTCTCCGGCTCTTCTAAATTGGTGATGCGTTCCAAGAGCTTCACAGATCTTGAGCTCACTGTTCCTCCTTTTCAAAGACAGTAAAACATTTAACATTACTATTCTCCATCTTCAATACAAAAATAAAGGTGGTTACAATGAAATACTTGTTAACAAGTTGTCTCACCAATATTTTGCACAAAGCCAGGCGGAAATTTGGAGACAGTAAGAAAGGGATACTCCAACATTTCAAAATTATCTTGATTCATAATTGGTGGTTGCAAAAGCAACGCTGGAGGTCGAGTTTGATGTCCAGTATATGATGATCCACTCCCTGTGAGACTATTCCCTACAAGGCACAAATGTCTTCATTACAGAACAATAAGTTCTCATTACTTTGAAAATGATTCATAAACAAAATCTAAACTCAAAAGGGACATTGAAAGACAAAAACAACAAACATTGATCCCCACTAACATCCAGGGAGGTTGGAAAAACAGAAGTAAGCAAAGCCTATTTCTACTATACATTGGATGAAATAAAATTTTTCAATCAACCAAATGCTTCCCACTTTGAAGACCCATCTAATGCAGATCATGCAATAGAGAAGACGAAAGAGGACCACCAGGAAATGAATGTAGGAATGAGTACGAAAGGAGGCATCAAAATAACAGTAAGACAGAAAAATGTAATTGGTAAATTATATGATGTCATTCCCAAATTAAAATATACCTAGGGCAAGGTTTTTACTACACCTATTGATAGGATAACTACAATTTCACAATAATAATTATTACTATTGTGAAAAATAAACCTCAATATACTTTTTTATGTTGATTTTTTTTAAAAAAATTGTTAAAAAACAAAATTTTACCAGAAAAAATTGTGAAACTGATAGTCAAAATACACTTTCTAAAACACATGCATAGTATAAAGAACTTAAGATAGGGAAGAGGCTTCATCTCGACATACAACAATAGCATAATATCTGTTCAAATGAGAATTCTACTTTCAAAAGTGGACACCAGAGCACATTTAGGGACAAAAAAATAAAAGTCAACTCTACTCTAAAATAGTAAAGAAATAGGAAGATAAAACTTTAATAAAATAGCAAACAATAATATCCTATAAGAGAAAGCAGCTGTCTGATATGATTCCTTTGGTATATAACACAAATTTTGGTAAAGAGGGAAAACAAAACAATTAGTAACAGTTCTGCACAAAAACAAAAAATATCAATCACAATTGGAATGAAAAACATTTTGAAAGTGAGGCAGAAAGATGATGACAAGGGTGTAGAGAAAGAAAATGATAGCACACGCCAAGAATGGACACAATAATTTACACAAGTAACTACTTACTCTTCCTGGAGCAGCCTACGATTTAAGTTGACCCAAAACCAAAACAGAACAACAAAAATCAAAAAAGTGTTGATGATAATGTTGTGTTACATTCACATTTATACAAAAAAGCACTAAATATTTCCTCATGATTGCTTCTGAACTAGAATGGCACAGAATTTGTTAGTAAAGGCTCTGAATGCTGACCAAGATTGTAAATGTAAGAATTGAGAAGGAAAAGTAGTACTGAGGAATGTGTTCCATATGTTTGAATACATCCTACATAAGGAACGATAGGTCAGTCAAGAAGTGCTAAAAATAGTGCTAGCAAAAAATCTGATATACTTTGCAAAACTACATACAGGTAGTTAATAAAAATTACCTAAATCCTTGAGAGACTAACTGATAATAAGATCAATTTAGTAGTCTATAGGATCACACTACTGTAATTACAAACAATGTTACAAACTGACTTGTATAGCAAACGACTTTTGGATTTGTTTACAATGTGATCTGTCTTCATATAAAGAACAAATAAGCTGATGACAAAACACATTCTAAACACAGCCAAAAACCATAGGGCTCTGAAGGGGTGCAATGGTGCGTAAAATGAGAAACTTTACTTCCTACAAACAAACATGTGGTCAACCTTTAAAGTTTGTCTCTCAACTTCTGAATTCTTTTACACTTACCTTTAGGTGTAACGCTTAAATCTGAATCTGAAGATCTTCGATGGATGGATGGGGCAGCAGTGAGCTTAGCAGGGGACTGCGAATGTTTGAGGGCACTTGAAGACAGCTGAGCTGATAGTCCGTGTGGCACAGCCCGATCCTCATCATGCCCTTGTCCTTCTCGCTCTCCGTCGGTAGCAAAGTGCGAGGCTGCTGCAGCTTCATGCCGGCACACTAGGCTAGTGGTACTCCTACTCTTATGGAGTGGGGACAACACACGAGGGGAGTCAAGCGTGAGTGAGCACACTGGGTTATCTGACACGCTTTTCTCCAGAGCCAATTTTAAATTGCTAGTCTTGCTAGAACTGTCCATGCTTAAAGTAGCCTGCAGCTTATGTTCATTGGGCTGTGGTGTTGGGGCCCTCTCTAAGTTAATAACTACATTAGTAAAATTGTTCTGCACTTTACTCTGATCAAGCATAGGTTTACTGATAGTGGGTGAGTTTGTGAATAAGTTTGTATGGATTATTGACTCATCAAGAAGACTTTGTTTCCTGTCTTTGCCTTTCATGTTATTTTGATAAAGAGCATCTACTTTGTCAGACGAATCAGCGCATGCAGACAAGCTATTAATAAAAGTTGAAGCAACTACATCAAACCTACTATTACCAGTGTTAAGATCACACTCCAAAGTTGAAGGCGATGGAGGAAGAGAAATGGAGGAAGAGGTGTTGGGTGGGGTTTGAGGGTTTGGTGATTCAAATGGTTGAGGCAGATCTTCAATGTTCACATCAAAGTGAGTAGTCTTCAGCGCAACAGTAGCAGCGTTAAACTCTTGATCAAATGGACTATTTGACTGAAGAACATCCCCAACGTCACAAACAGACACATTTGACTGTTTCCATACTCTTCCTCTTTTGGCCTTGAGTGAAGATAAATTCTGCTGGGCACAATCAGTTTGCAATTTGGGTGAATTGAGTTGTGGACACTCAAATGATAGCTTTGAGCTTGATAAACTTGAGGATTGGCTAGAGTTGTTAAGTTTTGGATGTCTTTTATGTTTAACAAGAATAGGCGAAAGTGACACTTCCTTGCGGAAGACATCAGAGGAAGATTTTTGACCCTTCGGTGAAAGAGATCTACTTTTTTTTCGGTCAAAATGTACAGTTTCATTTCCAGCAATAACGAATGTGACCCTTCCTTTAGAAGTTTTCCCAGGAGATGCATGGGTATCCACAGCAATTCTATGAGATGTTGAAGCATCATCACAATATAGTTTTTCCTCCAGTAAATCATAATCATCCACAATTGAGTTCTCTTCATCCTTCAGACCAGCAGCTGAAGAATCAGTGATTTCATCTCCTGTAGTTGAAGAGCCACAAGATGATGATGATGATGATGATGACTCGATGAATGCAATACTTTCCTCAATGTCAGATGATATTTGATGAATAAGCTCTTTTGCTCCTCCTAATTCAATTTCTGATGAACTGGGAAACAAATTCAGCTTTGGAGTTGCTGGTGCCGATACCATAGTCTCTTCACTTTCCACCACTCGGCTCAATCCTCCTCCATCATCTAGCTCTCGTCCGGACTCCATCATAATGGATCTAATAAGGGCAGCTGTCACTGAATCATTCCTAGACTGCTTTAGAGATTTTCTTCTTAGGTCAAATGAAAGAGATTTAGTAGAGGAACATGATATTGTGTCAAGGTCAGAGTCATCAGTAGATTGCATTCGTCCTCTCAGAGCATTAACTTTTTTGGGCAAGTGTCGAATGGCTTTCATAAATCGGCTGCTTCCTGGAGAACCTGAGCTCTGCCGCATATCTTCTTGCTCCAGAAGGCGTCGTAGATCTGATAAGTCTGTGACCAGTGATTTAGTCGAATTTTGCCTTTTATAAGGTACATGATGAAGTAATTCAAATGGAGCAGAGCCTTGCCGACGATGAGTGAAAGCCTTTGGATTACTTGGTAATGGAATCACCACAACAGGTCTTTTCTTTCCTTTCTTGTTAAGCTTTGCTTTAGGGAAATGTGATCCCATTAAAGGTAATAATCTATCATCTTTGGATTGCTTTGGTAAAAGTGGTGACATTGAGGGGTTGATACAAGTTGTGGGAGTAGGAGGGATGACAAAAAGACGAGGAGAAGAGGGAGCAGCATACAGACATGGAGTAGTACGAAAAGGAGAAAGAAAAGATCTACAATACAGAAGCACACACAAAAATTGACAATAATTTGAAAAGCAATGTTAGAAGCAGAAGCCCACATTGAGCAAGCAGGGTAGGATGAGGAGAGAGAGATGGAATGCAAGAAAAACAGAAGAGAGAGAGAGAAAGAAAGAACCAAAGATATATTTTAGTACTTTGACAACTTAAGAAAAATTAAAACTATGAGCTGCTTTCAGTTTTGACAGTAAATCTGTAGCTGAAAAGAACCATACAGTCAATTCAAAACCCATTATTAATATTTTTAATAAAATCAAATGCATGATATGTCTAAAGGAAGAGAGGATCTATTACAAATTTTAAAATAATTAAAGCTTTTGCTCCATGAAAAGAGAAATAATATTGCGAAGCATATATAATTGCTGGGGTTTGAATTCAAACAGGATCAATAAACTTAAATCGGGTTAAAAAATTGAAACTTAAAAGAAAACACATGACACACAAATAAACAAAGAAAGTAAAAGAAACCAAATGTAGAGTGGAACCATGAAACCAAAATGACAGGTAGGCACACAGAAAAGCAATGAAAGGGATTTCCTGATTCATACAAAGATTGCATAAATGAAGCAATTCAATTCGGTTTTCTATGTTGTGGCAACTGAAGAACTTTTTCAAATACTTGTTTGTCATTATTTTTCTTTCTAATTGCAGGAAATCAATGCAATACCTTCATATTCAGACTGGAAATTTAATTGTTAACTCTTAGCAAGTTGGTCCTGGATGTATTTTATCTAACGTCATGGCCAAAAGAGCCAAATACAATAAAGTGCACTAACATGGATTCATAGAGTGCTCTCAAACTAGATAGTGCCTACCCACATTGAATCATTACATCACAAACTTGAAAGCCTCTAGAAGGACAGATTATGATAATTATAATCTGCACAAAAGTGCAGCTGAATTGCTCTAAACCTCTGAGTGTATCCCAAAAAAGAATTCTTCATGAGCTCTTAGCTCTTATTGAAGCTCTAAGGGTTTGGTCAAAATGCACCACACAGCAGCCAAAGCTCACAAGGATAGTTAGAGAAATATTTCAATTATCCTTTTATGAGATTTCTAAACTACTTTTAAAAACGCACTTGCTAATCTTTTTAGTAATTAAAAAAAATAATCTGAGAAGAGAGAGAAGAAGACTGATAAATCAAGAACTTTTTGAGAAAGCAATATGGAAGAACGACTGATGCACCAATGTTTGATTTGTTTTAAAATACTGTATAACAATGAAAGGCAGCGAAGAAACCTTATTATTTTAAGGCAAGTCAACGTTGTTTTATAATATGTTCAATAATCTCATTAATTAGGATGAAATAACCAACAAACATGAAACAGGTTGATATTGACTAAAATGTATGCCTGATCTTCAAATTAAACCCAACAAATTAAAATGCACTCATCGTGAAAAAAAAAAAAAAAGAAAGAAAGAAAAAAAGGCATGAGTGTTTCTTTTTTTTTCTTTGGTGTGTGTGTTTGTTTGATACATTTTCTTATTAAAAAGTATAGCACAACACCCTCAGAAAAATTTTCCACAGACATTTCTTTCGAAACATCATCTAGGAATAAGGTGAGGTAGAATGAAACACCTCTGTTTGCAACATTTTTTAAAAAATATTGGACAAGAGACCAAATGCAGAGCAATCAGGAATGAATGATAACCAACATCAACATCATACGTAGAAGAAAACTTACTCATCGTGACTGGATGTGTTTAATGCAGCACTCTCCTGAAGGCGAACAAGGGAAACAGCAGTACCAATTCCTCTAGCAACAATGCCTGACTCGCCTTCCAAATCAAAGCACTGACGGTACCTGCATAAAAATAGACTTATCAGAGATAGATCTAAAAATTCTTGTTTTGAAAAAGGAACAACAAACCTACCCAATGACAGCATTGCCTCCCAGATCCAGAGCTTTGAGTCCTATTTTTCGTTGCACTTCACCTGATAGTTTAAAGAACAGTGTCTGTCTTGCCTCATTAGATGCTCTGGGGGTACGTATTTTATCAATCCATTGGTACTCTGGATCATCATTAACTACTAGCTCTTCAACAAATCCATGAATTATCTGTGCATTATAACCCTGAGGAATGACAGAGGCTGCAAAATAAAATATTTGCTGCATGTTAAATATAATACCTAACTCTCAATTATAGTCATCAACATTTACATAAAAATAATAAATATTTATTTCATTTAACTTTTTAGTTTAACTAACTTCTTTTAAGGACAATTTTACCCTGGTACTTACAACAAAAGAAAAGAACCCCACAGGAAGACTGGCGGAAACGGTTAAAGTCAGAAAAAAGCTCAACTTTGACAATAACTTGAACCTCTCCTCTTATTCCATGCATTGTGTCAAAAACAGGAATCCAGCCAGACATTACAGATCCTGAAAAAATATAATAATTAGTGTTTTAGGCAGCTAGAGTGCCACAAAATATGAGTTCTGTTTGTTGTGAGTGATTACCAGTGTTGGCAGATGTTGGAGCGTTTCCTTCTATTCGAACATTCTTCACTGCTGGGGGAGGCACAGGTAGCAGTAGAGGGTTAAGATCTAAGTATACCTTGCCAATAGCATCATTAGCCGAATAAGTATCATGATCCATCAGTCGAAGCTGTAGTGGTTCATCTTGAAGTTCAGAATCATCTACCTGTGTGAAGCAAATTCGGGACACATAATGTAAATTATACTATATACATTAAATATTGTAGATACAGCCAATTGCTTTGTAACAAAATAAACAGAACATCCACTAGAGTGCTTACCTCAAACCTATACCATTCTGAATTCCACTGTGGGTTCAATGATTTACGGCACACATCAGTTTTGTATGTTGTGTTGCCCAGCTTTATCTCGACGTATGCATCTGTTGTATCACTAGACCTGTCCATAACAGGCAAGTTGCGTCCCGCAACTATCTTCACCTTTACCTTTCCGGGCATTCTGTTGAACACAAAAATTACTGGGTAAAACAAACCCAAAGTAGGAAGGTGGAATATTTTGCCCATATACACGAATGACATTTAATGGTAAATAATTCAGCCAATTGAAAGCTGAACGTGTCAAATACTCAGGAAGACCAGTTAGAGGCTGATTTCAAAGTATCAGTATCAGTACAATGAATCCACATCTTTGTCGTATTTTTTTGATATCAAGAAATAACAAAAATAGCAATTTGATATCGCTAGTATTAAAGTTTCCGAAACTTCTACAAAACTAAAATCAGCCGATACCACTCCCGGTATTTTTGACACGATGCACACAGTCCCAGGCTAGGTACATACTTTTCAAACAGAACAAGGCGTCATTCGCAAGATATCTATAAAATTTATGAGGATAATCCGTCCAAGAAGTGTATTCGGTGTCTAACAGCGTGAGAGCTGTTTATTAAAAGCACGAAAATATCGTCTGCTGGCTGGGCGTAAACGAGCGACGACGTGCCACAAGGCACAGAAATATGCGAATCTCTTTTCGCACTAACTGATAATGTTACTGAATTTGCGCTTGAATATCCTACAGCTTAGAAAGTTGGTTGTGAATGCGAATCAAGTGCTTAGTGGTATAATTTCGCCAAAAGACGAATTGTTTTAGTTACAAATATAGTGTGTACCTTTGAATTTGTCATACTCTACATACGTCTACTAGATATTTAATTTTTGCAGGCTTAAGTAGTTAAAAGGTAAACAACATGGTGGATTGAAGTGATTGAAGATAATCTTTACTAGTTGTCTGTAAATTTTCAAACCACTGATGTACTTTTGAATCTTCAGCTTATTCCACAAATTTGGGAGAGCTATTGAGAAGGAGGCTGCAACTGTATTATTTTTATTACGAGCATGCATTTCTCCATTCCTGAAACTGAAGACTTCACAGATGAGAGCGGATCCTCCTACACAGTAAGATGGCACAAGTAGATCGTATACTTTCGACCTGTCACTTTAAACGTAAAATGTATCTTTTTCTTCGAAATACCCAAGGAACAGTGGCCCCTACTCCTTGTCCCTTGTTTTCATGAAAAATGTGTCAGATTAATTCTCAATTTCCCTGGACAATTACTTTGGACAAATTGTTGCACTTTCAAGTTTGTTTTAGTCTTCATGAATAATACTGCATCTACTTGCTTTCCTTCAGGGCTATCATATTTATATAAATGGCAAGTTTCATTGTACTGTGAGGTATCGTCAACTTCATAACCTCCATGATCAGTTGAAAAAAGAATACGGTGCTTCTGCACTTCCGTACTTTCCTCCGAAGAAATTTCTTCCCTTATCAGCAAATCAACTTGAAGAAAGGCGTTCTCTTCTTGAGAAGTTCATTCAAAAAGGTTAATATTTTTTTCTCAGTTATTCCCAGTGAGAAATGACGGGTCGAATTGACACAGAAACAATCAGATTGGATGAATTGACGTTGAAACAACATCCTTTTGACATGCATTTCTTACTGGGAATTGGTAAGATAACTTGAATGACTTACTTATTGCTCAACATTAATGCTCCCCTGATTCTAGTTGGACAGCACCCTGATTTAGTCTCATCAGAAATAGTCAACAGCTTTCTTCTGTCTGCTCAAGTCGAAACCTGTTCTGAAAAAAGTCAGGAATGTACTCTTGACATATTTCTGATGAATGGATATCAAATTTCAGTATCTGTGCTGACTACAGAGCGCTCACATCAAGTCCTAGAGGTTTGTAAACATATATATCTATATCAATGAAATAAACAGTCTTTGGTTGATTTGGACACCACACAATCAAAATTAATCGTCTGACTAAAAGTCTGATGTGTGCTCTGTGCTCTCTCTATCACTCTCTCACCTTTTGTTGTGTACTTTTCAGAAAGTATGCCGTCAAATATCTCTTCCTGATGCATACGTGTATTACTTCTACCTATTCTTAGTGAGGGATGAAGACAATGGAAACATCACAAGTAAGCATACTTCTAGTTCCATGACTATGACTACTTGACTATGGGTATCAGTTCTTACCGTCACATCCTACATATTTTTAATTTTCAGTCATTCGTAAGCTGCAAGATTTTGAATCACCTTTTATCAGTCAGAGGTCACTGGGGGGTGCTCATAAAATTGTATTAAGGAAGAAGTAAGTCTATCAGCTATGACCTTCAATCTCAGACTCAAGTCAAATTTGAAATTAATGTTTAATATTTGCACTAGCTACTGGGACCCTGCCTATGATATTGAGTTGGCAACAGATCGAGTTGCCTTGAATTTGCTCTATGTTCAAGCAGTAACTGAAGTAGATTGTGGGTGGTTGTTATGTAATGAAGAAGCAAGACAAAATTTGGTATCACTTCAAGCAAAAGGCTCAAAACGACAGGTTTGCATTTTTTATATCTGTTTATCTATTTAATCTTTATTTCAAATTTTTAAATACTTTTTAATCTAATCTTCATTGATTTATGTGGAAAATTCTTTTTACAGTATATGAAAAATGTCCGATTGTTAAAGTACTATGGGTATATTCAATTCCAACCATGTGTGGCTGATTTCCCATTTCCTGGTGCTCCTGTACTCGTCAGCATTGGGAATTATGAACTGAACATAAGACTACAAACTGGTAGCATTTCATCATCTGCTTCTTCAGGTGGAGGCATATTTAAGGTGACTCGGATGCGCTGTTGGAGAATAACAACTTTGCATGATGTAAGTACTAGACCATCTGCCTGTATGCAAAAGTACAAAATGTTGATCAATTTAATCTTACTGTATTTTCTATTTCCTTAAAAATATAGAACAGTGAAAATGGAAATAAGAGTGGGCCTGATTTTGAGTTATCATTTGAATATCTAGTTGCCAAAGATAAACTTATGTGGATCACAATATCAAGTGAACAAGCAATTCTAATGTCAATTTGTCTTCAGTCAATGGTTGATGAATTACTTCTGAAGAAGAACGGCATCAAGAGAAAAATGGTAATTATATTTTGTGTCCCATGGGCAAAGATTTTATCAGATATAAATTCCTGTTATCTGTTTTCTTGTGTACTTACAGCCAGGTGATGTATCTCAGAAACAAAGTTGGTCCTACTTGAAGAGAGATGGAAGCAGTCAGGTTTTAAGTTCCAGCCAGTCGTCTTCTAGTGATGGATTTTCATCATCCATGAGCAGTGGCAGTCAAAGTGGATCTGTGAGTTTCACGAGTCACACTCGTGATTCCTTGATCATAGGTAGTTGATTTCAGTGCACAAACTAGGATGTTCAGTTTTTATTGAATATATTCTTTTTTACAGAATGGGGAAATATTGTCACCTACACGAACAGAGGGTACGTCATCAGCATCATCATCCATAAAAAGGTTATCAGAGAAGTTTTCCAATGTCAATTTAAAGTCTACAGCAGGGAAGATTCATTCAAGCAGCACATCTCCTGTTGAAAATGATGCCTTTGATGGTATTGGAGATGATGATTTGTAACTTTGACAACACTTGTTATTTTTGAGGAGGCCATATTAAAATGTTCACCTTCTGCTCCATCTGGGTTGCAATGCAAATTGCATATCCAACAGCAAACCTATGCAGGCAGCTGGAGGACCTAGGCAAATTTCTGTATTTTTGGGAGGTTTTAAAGATGTTGCTTTCATTAGCTTCTTTCTGTTGCTATCAATGAAATTCTACTGTGCCTAAATCAGTCATAACTTGTAGAGACCAACTTATGTGCCTCAAGGTCTCAGTTTCCTTATATTCGCATTTATTTGTTGCATTTTATTTGAGGACTGATTGAGATCAGTCTTTAGCTCAATATTTTTCCGCCCCACATTAGCATGGTTTCTGCTGATGTAAGTACTGCATCTCAAGCTCGGTTGACAATTTTGCATTTGACGAGGAAAAGACTAAAATCTGAATAAACTTCTATATTTTATCTATGTTGTACTGACTCCGTAGGAAAGCCAATTTATGTTCATTTGAAAAAAGAAGAGAGCAGGATCATTTCCTGGTAATATGGTAATAACTACTTGTAATAATGCATTTATTGTTATATGTTATCACTAAGTTTGTGTATCCATACTAATACCAATCAATATTAACATTCAATTGTGTGTGATGGTGTAGTTCAGGGTATACCTGATATATTGCTCTCAATCTTATTAACTTATCCTTTATGGTATATAATTTGTTACACTTTGGGGTTTTCTTACATATAGTCGAAGGGTGGTGAATTAATTGTCAGTTTGACCAATGCGAGGTTGTCTATTAGATCCGTCCTGGAATCTGTCCACGACAAGTATCTTAAAAGATGATTTATCCATCTGGTATTTTTTTGCTCCGGAGAGTGTATGCGAAAATAATTGTGATTGCTGATTTGTATTTGTTTATCTTTTTTGACTACCGTCCCCTGTAGGTTAATGACTACCAGTTCCCTTCCATAGATTAAAATGTTATGTGTCCAATATTCCTTTTCTTGTATTCTTTATCTTTATACTTAATTGCAATGTTACCGTCTCTCTATGTTGTGAACTAGTGTGTCTCTGTATGTTTCTTTTTGAGATATCAAAATTATATTATCTTCCTTTTAATAATCCTAGTATACTAGTGTATCCAATATATAATCATAGGGTACTTTATCTAATGATGATACATGGTATATTTCCATGTCTTCTCAGCGCTATTGCCAACTAACCATGACACAATGCAGTATTTTAAAAGTTTTAGTGGCATCTGGTTCAGCTTTTTTAGGGTTCATGCACTAATTCAATTAATTACTGTCCTGTAACTCATTTACCTTTCTTGACGTAGCATTTGCAAGGATTGCTGAACATGGGTTGATTTTGAGTTAGGCGTTTACAGTTACCATACAATTTTCATTAAAAACTACAGCGGAAATGACTGACCTCTTTTTTAGAATTATTTTATTTTATTTTGTCGCTTGCGGGATTGTATACTAATTTCTAACTGTAGTATTTGATAATCATATCAGAGCTCTCCAAGGACATTGTTTTATAAGGTAGAAACAACATGTTAAAGTAATCTATCTGTGTGTGTCTGTTCAGAATGTTCAGATTTAATGGTCTAGGCATTTTCATGTGATATTAATCATTCCCTCCCCTCTCTCTTGTAAGTGGGAAATTTTTAGACTTGCCAGGTTGTTGATACACATTTCCTCTATTCCCAGGTAGAAATTTGAATCTTCTCTTTCAAGAAGGGGGCCTTGATTTTAAATTTTATGTTTATCGTTAATGGCTGTAAGATTTGTGTGTATCTTATTGCATGTGTAATTTCTTCAATTTAGACGATAAAAATGAAATGTGTAACATATGCACAGCCACATGAACAAAATAGAAATGGTGGAATGTTCTGATGTAGTATGTATAAGTCAATATAAAAACAAGAATTTCTGAGCTTCCAGTAAAATACTTTAAATAAATCTTGATTTGAAGCAAGTAACGTTACAATTGTTTCAGAAATTAATGTTTAGTCACATCACGTATGTGTAGTATAGCTTAGCAATTGTGTGGTGTATGTAATGTGTAGTTACTGTGGACTAGTAATCACACTCTCCATAAAAATTTTGTTCAGTTTCCTGAAAACTATTAGGAACTGGTCAGTGCCAAAACTATCTGTGTCTTTGTTATTGGGCCGAAGCTTGTCTGAAAAAGGTGGACTCTGTTTAGAAATGGTTAGTTTTTGTTCAAGGTTTTCTACCCCAACATTCCACTTTTGTCAAAATGTTTATGTTATAAATTTACCTTACCTTTATATTACTTACTAATTTTTATCAATTCTTTACTCTTTATCTGGAGTTGGATCCAATGTATGTATACCCATCTGATCAAATTGTAACCAAAGTATGTATTTTGATTCGGAACAGTGCTCATCTCACTGTTTTAGAAACAACTTAAGAAATCAAGAGCTTATTGTTTTACAAATTTTAGTATGAGCAAGAAAACATACATATTTTTTCCCTAACTCTGAAGCCAAACACAGTGCCAAGAAGTTGAGGATCACGGGTGTGTTTATGACAGATTTGCAAATTTGGATAAACAATTTTTTGTTTCATGTGTCAAATGTCTCTATTTCCCACTATTATGAATAAAGCGTTATTTTTGCATTGTTTTTAAAGATATTTTTTGTAGAGTTGTGATGGTGGTTGTATGCCTTGGAAGAGGTTTGATTGTAAACAAACTATATTGTTGCATTATTATTACACAAATATATGATGTTAAAGAGAAGTGAAAATGAATTCTACCAGAATTTCAAAGCTAGGTCTGTGGTGATTGTTTCTTTCTTGTTTGTCTCTTGTTTGAAACTATATATGCTGAATGGTTTGTATTACTGTAATTTTGCAACCCACAGTGCCATCTTTGGCGTTGTTTCATTATTTACAGAAAAAAAGTTATTAAAATAAATGATTTAAATACTTCCATCTATCTTTTCTTACATGTAGTCCATTAGTGTTTACCAGTTGGTGAAAATTATTCAAATTCAAATAGTGTATCTCTACGATTGTCTGATACTCGGGTTCATATCAGATTGTGTCCGCGCTCTACGAAATCAGAATGTACTCTGATTTTTTTAAAGCTCTTCTTTCAAAAACCTGAAGTCGGGAAAGTATTGTCCGGGTGTGGGGGGGTCGGCGGTCGGGAACCAGGAATCAATTTAAATTTTTGCGCTTAAAAAAAGAACAACATCAAATATGAAAAGCTCAGCATCACAGACATCGTCGGGCCTCTTCTATTTAATAACTTAACTGGTTAATTTCCCTTCATTTTGACGTTGTCAGAGCAGTCAATACCTTTCGAACAGAGAGAATATTACATTCTTCCTCTAAAATGCAGATTTTTATCTTATTTGTAACAATCGCTGACATATGCAGATCATCATAAGCTTGCTAATGTTTTCATACTTCGAACGTTGACCGTCCGTCCGGCATTCGGCCTCGAGCACAAACATGATGTTTGGTAGGCTTAACGTTCAAGTGCAAAGAATGTAAATTTTGCTTTAGCAAAAGAGAACGGTGCGGTAAGGCTGCGGCCGTAATGCTCCTCTATGTCAAATCACATTAGGGGTCGGATTGTGGGACGTGAGGATTCAGAAAATAGTCCAGTTCAGAAGAGGACCTTGTTAAGCGCTGAGTATCCTGGCAGCAAGAAGCTTAAGCTGGCCGACGAAATGACAGACACGGCAAATCAGAAGAGGCCGAACTTTTCAGCTCTGAGCACAAGTCCCAATGGTATTAATAAAACTGCATCTCTAGTAAATACCAAACCGGGCGCTGCGAAAAAGCTTGTCATCAAAAACTTGAAAGGTTTGTGTTGTTTCTGTCTCAATCATTAACCTTAAACGACCATAACCCTCACAGTAAAGATTTTTTTCTGATTGTTTTCCAAGTAATCCATCTGGCCTGTCAAACATAAATCCCTTTCGTTTTATACGCTATGTTGACTTGGCTTGACACAAAATGTGTGTACCTTTCATTTTTCAAACGATACTGTGTTCCTTTGACTGTTCACTCTTAGATCTTAATTCTGTTTGGTTCGTCAAAGATAAAGCATTTTCCTTTGCTCATGGGGCATTACGTTTTCTATTTTTCCTCTCTTTTGTATTATTCTCAGTCTGAAAGTACTCGCAGACAATTTTTTACTCTTTCTCAACTGTTGCCACTTTGGTTGAATGAGGTCCATCATTTTGCTTACTTCAATAAAGCTTGGGTGCAGCTGGTTCAAGCTCGGTTCAACGAAGTTATGCTTCATTTTTACATCTTTTTTCAGAAAAACCAAAACTTCCGGAAAACTATGAAGAGCAGACTTGGGAAAAATTGAAAGAAGCTGTCATTGCCATTCAGACCTCAAAGTCTATACGCTACAGTCTGGAAGAGCTTTATCAGGCTGTTGAAAATATGTGCAACCACAAAATGGCCTCTCATCTTTACCTTAATCTCACAACATTGGCTGAACAACATGTTAAAGCTAACATTCAGCAGTTCATGGCAGAATCTATGGATCGACACTTCTTCTTAAAAAAGATGAATGAATGTTGGCAATCACATTGTCGACAGATGATTATGATTCGAAGTATATTTCTTTATCTCGACCGAACTTATGTTCTACAAAATCCAACAATACACTCGATTTGGTGAGATTTTCTTCTATTCTGTTTCTGTAGATTGTCCTCCCTTCATTGATTTATAAATACATGCCTTCTGTATTCAGGGACATGGGTCTGGAAATGTTCAGACACCATATTGTGATGAACACTCTTGTTCAGACTCGATGTGTCGATGGCCTCCTCATGCTTATTGAAAAAGAACGGCAAGGAGATGCAGTTGATACAACGCTTTTAAAATCCCTCCTGCGAATGCTCTCTGATTTACAAATATATCAAGAGGCATTTGAGTCTAAGTAAGTACTGTTTCAACTTTGTGTGTTGTTGGTATTCGTGTGTTGTTCCTTTTGTATTATTAACCACCTATGGCTCCCACAGGTTTCTTTTAGCCACAGAACGTCTATATGCTGCTGAGGGTCAGCGTTTAATGCAAGAACATGACGTACCTGAGTATTTAGCACATGTCAACAAACGTCTTGCTGAAGAAAATGAAAGACTTCTGCACTATCTAGACTCATCTACAAAGTTTGTCCAAAATTAACATACTCTTTTCATTAGAATTAGTTGTTCTCATTCATCATTCTTATTATCATTTCTTTTATCCAAAATTCTAGGTGGGCTCTCATACACACTGTAGAGAAGCAACTTTTAACAGAACATTTAACCGCAGTGCTGCAAAAAGGACTGGATCTTTTACTTGAAGAAAACAGAATATCTGATCTATGTTTGCTGTATAAGCTCTTCACCAGAGTAAAAACTGGTCTTCAAGAATTATGTACCAACTTCAATGCTTACATTAAGGTAACATTAACATTTATATGTTCATCTCCCTGGATTTTATATCTACAAGTTTAAAAGTTAAGTTGTACACTTTAATTTTACCAATTTAACATGGTCTGTTTCTTTGTCATCCTAGAAAAAGGGTCGTACGATTGTTATTGATCCGGAGAAAGACAAAACAATGGTCCAAGAGCTGCTTGATTTTAAGGAAAAAATGGACAATATTGTTTCTAAATGTTTCCAAAGCAACGAAAAATTCAGTAACAGCTTGAAAGAGGCATTTGAACAGTTTATTAATCAAAGAACTAATAAGCCTGCTGAACTTATTGGTAAGGTTTGAATCTTTCGTTTATCTGGTGTCCCGTGCAGGTTGGAAACTGTACTTTATTTTTCTCCTTTCTTCCAGCCAAATTTGTTGATTCAAAACTTCGTGCTGGAAACAAGGAGGCATCAGAAGAAGAACTGGAGCGTTTGTTGGATAAAATTATGGTTCTCTTTAGATTTATTCACGGCAAAGATGTGTTTGAAGCATTTTACAAAAAGGTATGATTTGTAGACTAAAATTTTGCTTCTCATATTACTTAGGCTACGATGTAAACTCTGATTGCATATTGTTTTGTAGGACCTGGCAAAGAGATTATTAGTTGGTAAATCGGCTTCAGTGGATGCTGAAAAAAGTATGCTGAGTAAGCTAAAGCAAGAATGTGGTGGGGGCTTCACTTCCAAACTGGAAGGCATGTTTAAAGATATGGAACTAAGCAAAGATATTAATGTTGCTTTCAGACAGGTACTTGCTAATGTGTGCTAGAGACATCTTTAGAGGTATGCACCACTTAAATCTTACTCTTCTTGAATTGCTTCTTTGCAGTATATGTCCAATGCACGTACTGCACATTTACTGAACACCATAGATTTGACAGTAAGCATTCTTACCATGGGATATTGGCCTACATATGTTGCCATGGATGTAACTCTTCCTGCCGAAATGGTCCAGTACCAAAATTTCTTTAATAGATTCTATTTAGGAAAGCATTCAGGCAGAAAGCTGCAATGGCAACCTACATTAGGTCACTGCTTGCTCAAGGCTGAATTTCCTCAGGTAAACTTGAACTCTGTACTTTTACATTCATTGTGTGAAGTAAAGTCTCAGAAATCAATGGATGAGTGTATCTAGTACTCAAAGCTACTTTGTCAAATTTGAATGCCTAACATTTATAATTACAGGGTAGGAAAGAGCTTCAAGTCTCTCTCTTCCAGGCTCTTGTACTTTTACTTTTCAACCAAGCTGATAATATAACATTTGAAGAGATTAAAGCAGCTACTAATATTGAGGTGAGGACTTAGCATAGTAATATTGTTTCTTTTTTTAATCCATTGAATGGTTTTTCCTTGAAGCTCATTTCTGCTGCTTTCTGCTCAATTTTCACAGGATGGAGAATTAAGGCGAACTCTTCAATCTCTAGCATGTGGTAAGGCTAGAGTTCTGCAAAAGACTCCTCGAGGTCGTGAGGTTGAGAACAATGATGTGTTTGCTTATGATTCTCAGTTCACAAATAAACTGTGCCGCATCAAAATTAATCAAATTCAAATGAAAGAAACTGTAAGTTGACAGTTTCCTTTGGTCCTTATTTTTTATTAAATTATCTGTTCTAAAACTACATTTTGCACTCTGACAGAATGAAGAACAGAAAGCAACAGAGGAGAGGGTCTTCCAAGACAGACAGTATCAAATCGATGCTGCTATTGTAAGGATTATGAAAATGAGGAAAACCTTAAGTCATAACCTTCTGATTAGTGAACTTTATAACATATTGAAGTTCCCCGTAAAGGTATGTATGAAATTTATTGTGGCCTTAGTTTTACTTGATAATCATATCTGTTGTTAATTATTGCCTATTTTTCTACAGCCTGCTGATTTGAAGAAACGCATTGAATCCTTGATAGACCGAGACTACATGGAGAGGGACAAAGACACAACAAACCAGTACAATTATGTTACCTAAATGTACTAACATTCAGTTGGGCTGAAATATGTTTGAAAGGTAAAACATGAGTCATATGTAAAGCAAGAGCAGTCTATGGCGAGCTCATTTTGTTGTGAATTGTCCACAATTTGTAATGTCAAGACATTATTGTACAGTTATTTTATTTCACATCTGAGTGTGATTGAGTCTGGAAAGCTACTTACAGATTGTTTACTGAGTGACCTGTGATGTTAAAATGAATTGGAAAGGCCTTACTCTGTTAGGGGCAAGTATTTCTCTCCCAATACTCGCTGACTATGGATTTTGTGTATTTATTGTCTATTATCTATTATCTTTTTGTAAGATTGATAAGGCTAAATTTAACCCTCATTGGGACTGCAATGTTATTAAATTTTGTGGGTGACCATTTTTGTTGCTCTCTCCCTTATGCTATGTTCCTGAACACTTATGGTTTACACCTTGAGAATTTCAGATTGGGTCCACATCTACATATTGGCAACCGGCCTGGAGATGCTTATCGATGCTTATTGGTCTACTTCATTCTTGATTCACACCAATATTGTGCCTCTAACCGTGAACTGTGAGGTGATTCTCCAGAATTATGGAAGACTTAACTTCAGTCATTTGTCACTGTGACTAGTTATTAAAAAGCCATATGGATTTGTCTTCAAATTCATTTCAGAGGCACTATTTTATTTTGTATAGTTATTCCCTTCAGTGATCCTAACCAATCTCCATCTTGTGGGTAGAATACCGTCAGCAAGTTGTGTGTATTTGTGTGTTGGTTAAAGTAATCTTAATCTTCCATATAAACCGTGTGCTAAAGTAATGAGAATTCAGAAGCATTGTCGTAGATTTGATTGGAAGTGATGTTACCAGAGCAATCTCCATTTTCCTAATTTTAAGTCCTTAATAATTAATTTGTTTCTATCAGCTACAGAAGTCAAAATCTTATCTGTACTGTTTTATTGATTGACATCAAATTTTGTGAATGATTTATTCATTTTGTCTTGAACCTGACTTGCAACATGTACTTCTTTTGCTGCAATACCACACTTGTTTGCCATTTTTAATCTAATTTATACATTGAACATCACTCCTAATCAAATTTAATTAAGCTGTGATAAACACCATTATGTTGTGAAGATAAATTTAGAAAAGGGAAAATAATTGTCACTGGTCATTTTATGAAAATACCTGTACATTGATTTTCATTACAGAAATATGTATGAGTTGCTTTCAATAACCCCCACCCTCTTTTCCCCTACCTCCCTGTCTTTTCTCTGTACAATAATTGTACGTATGTGTACTAGTTCAATATTTTTCAACAAATATAGTAGATCTACTACTAATTGTGACTGTGCTATCTATTCCTTTTTAATAATATTCACATTTCATTTATTCATCATATCACAGTTTAAAACAAAAACAAGAAAATTACAGTTTACAGGTGATACTTGGCACAAGACAAGCAAAGAAATTCTCTGTTTTTGAATACTTTGCTCCCATTCATTCAACAGCTCACAAATGTCAACAATCAAAAAATAATGATGATCAGTGTCATCAATGAATTGCATGACCAGGTTATTTATTATGAAGGACACTTTATTGAGTTCTTACACATGTCTTTGATATAATTATTTCTTGTATCTAAATCTTGCAACAAACTAGATGCCAATTGACTGGCAGTCACATCTTTTTTCAGATAGTCCGAAACAAGCAGATGAGGAGGTTTCCCACCCCCATGTGCCAAACATTCCTGTCTGTACTGTTCCCCTCTAGACCTGCTCAAAGGATCAGCCTGGAAATAATTTTGCCATATCCAAGATGCTATGGCTCGAGACACTAGGTATGAATAGTATTTAGCGCCATAGCTCACTAAATGCGAAAAACGAAGTTGCCATGCCTGAAAGTCAAAAAAAGTTCAGTATTAGGTTCCTAAAATGAACATAGTAATAATAAAATAACATAACTAACGAAAAAACTCCTTACAGTCTTAGGAATATACGGTATGTTGTAATACTCCTCCTGAAGAGATGCAATAACATCACTTGTACTCCCAGTAGAACCCAATGGATTCTCACTGTGATACATTTGATCTAATGCAGAATAAAAAACTTGCAATTGCATTTCTGATGCTGCAAAAAGATGCTTGGAGGCACAGAGGCGTTCTAGCATATGAGTAGGCATGGGTTCTTGTGTCTGAAAATGGCGAGCAAACAATCCTAACACCTTGAAGAGAAAAAAAGGAATGGTTTTAATTAGTAAACAATAATGGATGGAATATGAAACAATCAAATCAACTGGTATGAAATATTAACCCGCGGATCTGCAGCGAAATATTCCATTAACACAGATGGAACCTCAGCAAAGTCAGTAGGACAACGTGTTCCAGTAACATGTTGATATTGAGTTCGTGCCATCATGGAGTGAAGGGCATGACCCATTTCATGGAAAAGGTTGTCCACCATTCCAGGAGACAAAAGACTAGGAGAAGACCACTTAGGGGTAGGAAAATTCAACATCAATACCACAACAGGGTTCTAAGGGAAAGAAAATTAATTAATCTTACTAGAGATGTTCAGTTAATATTCTTAGACATGTCAAAAATGATTAGAAGCAAACCTGATATGATCCATCAGCAAGGACTTTCCCTCCTCTTATGGTAAAGTGACAATCCTGATTAGGCTTACCGGCCCTTTGATAGAAATCACAATAAATATGTCCTAGGACCCCTTCAATCTCATGGACAACTGTACAAAGAAGTGCATTAGTTACGCCTACCTAGTCCATAAGGATATTGGGGCAAAAATTTATCCATAATACCTTCCAATTTATAAACATCTTGGGTCCAAGCCTCCCCTGGCATCATATCCACTGTCTTTAGCTGAATGCCATAGAGAGCATTGACCAGTAAATTTAACCCTTCCATACAATTTCCTAAAGAAAAGAAAGGGGAAAAATCTGAACTTGGAGCCTGAAGCCACTCCCTTTTGATTTTACGAGTGTAGTAAAGTGTGTCCCATGGAAAGATATCCTGGGAAAAATAAATTTTTCTTTACAATAAGAAACAAGAATTTTTAAAATAAAAATTTCAAAAATTCTTAGTAAAATTAAATTTCTTAATGTGTAGCACTCACACTTGATGAACCAATTTCTGCCTTTTTCATGCTTCGCATTACTTCTAAATCCTTTTCAGAATGTGGCCTCAACTTTTCTGCTAAAATCTGAAGAAAATCATTGACAACCTCAGGGTTTTTCACAGTACTCCCTTTAACAGCCCTAAAATGTAATAAAAATAACATCAAAGCTAAGCACATCCTGAAGTCATGAAAGAATTTTGCATTAATTGCTTCTGATTTTACCTGTGAGCATAAGACACAAACCCACAAGTAACAGCCAGTTCATGTCTTGCTGAGAGAAGCTCTTTTAAGAGTACTTCCTGCTGTTCATCTGGGAATAAAAATACTCTGTAAGCCCATTCTCGAGCAGCACAGTTAGGAGAATCTCCATAAAGCCCTGCAACTAAAACTTGGTCTCCTGATACTGAGAATCTACCAGAGAGAGAAAAAAAAAAAAGAGTTACTTTCACAAGGAATACAAATAGAGTCATTTGTAATTGATTCATGATGTAACATTCAGGACATTAACCCTCACAGATAGTGGACTAGAGTATTGCAAACTGAAGTAACTTACAAGTGTTGAATATTCTGAGGTAATAATTTTCTATGCACTGCTCTGGGAAGGGCTGTCCCGGCCATAAACTTTTGCCCTTTCTGTAAAATATCATCATTGAGACGCACAACTCTTTGGCGATCTTTTTCCTCTAAATGTATACCGGATTGTTCAAAATCAAAAAGGAAGAGTCTAGCAACGTGTTTGTCTACATCAGTCGTGGAACAAATATCACCAGATTCACTAACTGAACGTATGGCTTGGTACAGTTCCCGATTAGTGTTTAAGCTAAAAATAAATAGAGAAACAGATTGGAATCCGAATTTTTAAAATACTAATTGATTGGAAATGAAAACGTATTTTTTTTAAGTACATACTGCTCGACAATAGAATTAATAGTTATACAAGCATCTTCTGCAGCCAAGGAAAATGCTTCTTTAGGATGCGCTAGGCGAATGAATTCTGCAAGGTCAGCCACTTTGCACAATGAATCAGAAAGCTCATCAAAAACTACAACCATTTTTCTATCGCTGGAATAGAAAATATTATTGAATGATGTTATTGAGAAAAGAAAATGTTGTGGCTGTATCGATAAGGCTGTCAAACGCACCGATTAGGATCACATGTTTCCTGGACTAGACGACGAGTGTCTGATATAGCATCTTCTTTCATCGCCTGAAATCCCTCAGGCTGCTGGAGGTGCTCCAGACCAAACAATCCCTGAAAGAGGTTTACAGATTAGCTATTGGAAATGTATAAGTGAGTACTGGGATGGTAACAGAAGATAACTTACTACATCTTTTTGTAATGTCAAGTTTAAACGTCTATTAGGGCGTGAATTAAATGCTGTTGCAAGAGGAGACAGTGTAGACACATAACGAGGAGGAAACAGCTGTCCTAGGCAATTTAATTTACTTATACTCCTGGAAATTGTGAAATACATTTCTGTTGTATCTGAAAATTAGGACATAATAAACATCAATCAAAAATGTGTGTATTTGGCTTCATAAAATGTAAACAGGCTCATGGTATGATTGCCAAATAAAGCATAGAGGATATGGTGTGTAAAAGCTAATTCCATGATAAAATTACATTTATAAAATTACATTTAGAAAAATAACACACAGTTGAGTGATAACTTAGTGAAGGGTAAGGCCCAGGCGTAAACAAAGTTGGATTAATAGCAGACGACGTCGTCACACTAAGAAATATGTTTTTTTAAGAAGCATGGTAGTATATGATAACTTTCACAAACATTCTCTTCAAGTCCATTTTTTCATATTGAGCAAAAATTTACGCTAACTCAGTCTTCAATCTTCAATGAATAAGGTTACTTTTAAGTTGTTTGGGTGTTTCGTGGTTTGATTTGTTGGTTAGGGACAGAAACAAACTAAAAACAAACGAAGACAGAAAATGTCGGAAACGAATCACCGTGGTTTTCTCGCAAGGCTCCGAACGGTGTTTTGATAAGTCTTGTTTTCGTCAGCTGATAGTTTTAGGTTATGAGTTTTGCGTGATTTTGACGATTTCTCTTTCATTTATAATGTAACACGGCCAATCGTTGCAATTCATAATGAACTCCGGTTCTAAATTGGACATTAGCCAGTCTTCGGTGAGGAAAACATTGTTGTCTCATGCCTTATTGTATATGAATGTCACCTGAGCATCGCAATTATTTAAATGTAATATAATTTGTCATTTTTAATCTCTGTTTAGCTTCTTAGCCTTAAAGCCGAACTTGCAAGAAAGCATGAAGAAGCAACCAAGGCTAAGGCTCAGGCCCAAGGAAGTTTTATAAAACCTCTCGCTAAACCTGCGAAGAGCTCAATCTTCAGCCATACTAATGCATCCAACCATAGTAGTAAAAAGAAAGAACTGTCAGCAGAGGAGGAATCAAAAATACAGCGTTCTAGGTTTGTCTTTAAAGCAAGATGGTTCTATTAAAAAAACTACCTTGATCACGGATTTGGTCAGATAATATTTTTTTCTGTTAGATCTGCTCTGGAGGAGAAAGCCAAAATATATGATAGTCTCTCTCAGCAATCATCATTTGAAGGACACTCCGAGTACTTGGTTAACTTTGCTAAAAAGTCATCTTATGCTGATCATTCACTTGGATTAGAGGAACAGAAGGAGGAAGAAGAGAGAAGACGAAGAGAAAAGGAGGAGGAGGAGGAAGAGGCAAGGCGAGCAGACAGTGATGAGTATGAAATTCCATCAGATCCAGAAGATGATTGGTAATTATCTTATTTTTCTTGTTCATCAAGGTGACATATTCAGTGTAGTAGTTTCAAAGAATAATGATAAATTAATGCTCTTATCTTCACCAGGGTTGATTTCACAGATTCACTTGGGCGCACACGGCGTTGTTTGAGACGTGACCTATCCCGCTTCAGAGAGTTAGATGATCGATTGTTTAAATCACTTGAACCAAAGAGTCCTCCAGAGGCTAAAGATGTACCTTCACCAAACTCTTTGCCTCCTGCTGGATATCCTGCAGGATGTGCAGCACCAGACTTATTGTCAGATGACATGAGGAGAGAGCAACAGCGATTGAAATGGGAAGAAGAAGAAGAAAAACTACGGAGTAAATCGGAAATTCACTACCAGGATGTCCTTTTTGATGGTGAGTGGTATATTTTTTATTGCCCTATTTACATTACTTTAAGACATTACCCCTAATCTTTGGGTTTTGACTTCAGAAAATGAGGTGGGGGGGGGGGGGGATAGACTGGCACACTGAAAGAAACACTGATTTTTAGAATGTTATAGGTCTTAGATTCAGGCTTTGTTTCTTCTAATGAAAAAAACAACAAATCTGTTTCTGGGGGAGACTGATCGGACATGTTTTAGTGCTGTCGCAACAACTCCCAAGTTGATTTATTTTGAAAAACGACACTAAATTACTTTAGTTTTGATAACTTTCCTCCCTGATGTCTGATTGACATGATATTGTCATTAAATATAAGGTATTATATAGGACAATTATTGTGCAAAGCCACACCGCTGTGGGTCAATTACTTTAGAAGATATGGCCGTTGAAAGATTTTGCCTTTTTTTTTTACCCTGGAGAAAATGACAAAATTTGCACTCAGGTGGTCTGGTCTCTGAGCGTTGTCTTTTCCTCCAAAAAATCATTCAATTGGCTTCTTGTAGTAAAACTGTGTGCTGAATCTGAGTCCATTGAGAGATTTGACTAATCACATTGTATTACTGGCTAACCGCATCCCCTGAAGTTTTTTTTACAATTCTCTTTGAAATTTACAAAGTTTGAACTTAAAACCTCTAAAATTCTGAAAATCAAGTTTTAAGTGCCAGTGTAGGGAAAGGGGAGGGGTCTCTCATGCGTGTGGGTAAAACCATGGGGCCCCAACCTTTCATACCACTACCAACCTTGTAGAAATGCTTGTCGACTCTCTGAGAACCTTTCCCACTAAAATATTTTCATTATAAGTGGGTGGTGTCTTGTTTCCAGGGTGGGCTGAAACTCAGATGAATATGGTAGATCTTACCATTCTGTTGTTGTATTGTCATAAAATGTATTTATTTTCATAAATTGAAACAATTGTAGTTGTCTTGAATCAAACCAGAAAATTACCCTAATTTAGAGTAAAATTAAAATTAAAACACACCTTGAGGGTGTGTAAACTAGTAAATAACTATCACTAGCCTTCTTCTATCATGAAGTACAAAATGAAGAGGAAAAAGTTTTTCTCCCTGCACAATAGTGAAAAAATCATGAAGCTCATGTGTTTTGAATAAGTCATATGATGGCACTTTCTATCCCAGTAGTAATTGCATAATTACGGTATGTTAGACCCCTAACAACCACTCAGATTTTTCAAAAGATCTATTTTAATTTTATAAATAGCTTAATGGGGAAATAAATCTGTATTTAAAAACAGCATATTATTACAAATAAAGCAGCTGCTAAAGCATTGTAGAGTTTTTATATTAAATTAGTACTTATACTCAATAATAAAAAGGCAAAGCATACCGTAAGAAAGGAACAGCCAGATGCTGCAACTACCTTTTAATTTCCAGAAAGGGGTTACTTGTAGGTACACAAGCCACTTATGAAACTTAAATATACGACCAAAGTTACTGGTTGTGTGTGTTTTGTTTGGTAATCCGACTCAAATGTTTTCGTTAATTAGGAAATAATTAGCTGTAACATTTTAAAAAACGCCACCTGCAAACAATTTTGCATACCATGCCCTTACTTCATTAATTTGGGCTATTTTCTCATGTCTATTAAATATTTTGTATTTTACAGTATTGATGGTGACCTTAAATTCACCTAGACAATATTTTTCATTGGGTGTATGCTCTAATTTATGGTTTTTCTGTGTTTTCCTGAAATGGAGAATGTGGCAGTTTAATACTGACTCAGCGAGCTGCTCTCCCACCAGTCACACATAGTTCATGAGCACTCTAGAGTACATGAGTTTAGCACTCTCCGATTATAATATCAAAGCGTATTGCCCAAACTAGGTGAGTCTTAGAGTCCACTGGGCGCGCAGCATGGTGGTGCAGAGGGCGAGCGCGAGCAGCAAGCCCGTGCCCTGCACGCGGCTGGCCGACCCCTTCCCGTCCGTGGCGGCCGCCCCTGCGCCGGCGCCCCCAACGGGAACCTCGGCTGCGGCGTCCTCGGTTGTGTTGCTCAGGTAGAAGTCCCCTGGGGTGGTTGCGCTTGTGGCGGAGGTGCTGCTGCTCCCCCACGCCCTGTGGGAGGCGGTCGTGGTGGTCGTGGAGGAGGCGACGGGCGAATGCGAGGAGGGCGAGTCGTCGTACACAGAGGTGGCGATGTCGCTGGCGTCGTCCTCCGTGTCGTCGTCCTGGCCGCCGCCGCTGCCCTCGAGGTCGGCGCGACGCGCTTGCAGCAGCGCCTGCCGCTGCTCGCCCAGCTCCGCCGCGCCCCGCGAGTTGCACAGCGGCCCGCTGCAGTAGCAGTAGACGACGTCGTTGGCCACGTCGCACATGTGGAACGCTTGCTCAGCGCACGTCCGCGTCAGCTCCTCCCCTGCGACACAAAGTGTTCGTGAGAGCGAGAGGGGGTTGTGAGACCGGAGGAGGCTCGCAGGAGGCACTGGAGGCAGTCGTCCTGCTTTAGCCGGTTGTTTGGCCACCCAGGGATCGAATTCTGGGCAGGCGAATGAACAGGGTAGCCCTGGGTCACTCACCGTCGTACGTGGCGAGGCAGCCCTTGTACCCGGGCGGGCACGAGCGGCTCGAGGCGGGCGGCAGCTGGTCCGGGCCGGCCTCCTCCGACTGGCAGTCCGGGGCCGGCGGCTGCCCGGGGAAGAGGTGCGCTGCGCTGGCGGGGCCGCACACGTGACAGCGGACCGCCTCGGACAGAGCGGACAGGGGGACTGCAACAGAGGGAGGCGTCCACATCAGCGAGGGCTCTTAGGAGGCTCTGGAGCCACGAGCCTAAAAAAATGTCTGATTCTGGGAGGGAAAGGGGGGAAAGTGCCAAACTTTGAGGAACTCCCACAGTTTGAGGAAAACCTTAAGATTTGGAAAGAAGTCTCATAAAAAAGGTGGGGATTATCCTCATTTTTGGAGAAGATTTACCAGGAAATCTGAGGAGTTTTCCTTTAAATATGGGAGTTCCTCAAAGTTTTCACCTTTTCCTCGAAAAATCGGACATTGTGTTTATCGTGGGATCCTCCCTGCCCTGCGGTGTTTGACTTGACTCATGTCAGCGGGGTTAGAGGGGGGCGCGACCTGACCTGATGTGAGTCATCCCCCTGTCTCGTCACCGACGCCGAGGGCGAGGGCGGCAAGGGGAGCAGTCGTTCTCTAACCACGCCTACTACGCCTGAATTTCCCCACAAAATCTAAAAGATACCTTTCCTGAATAATCTGTGTTGTGAACAGCAGGGGCGCTCTCTCACTCGGGTTTGAAAACGGTTCATACATTTGTGTAAAGTGTCGCCCACCAGAAAGGAAGCGTATCACCCTCACCTCCCCGGTCGTTCGGTTGGCGGCAGTCATTTGTCGCCGACGACCCCGCGGCTGCTTTCTTTCAGCGTGGTGTTGTGGTTAAAGGTAGAGGAGGAAGAAATGTGCGGCTGGGGGGGGGGGCGGGGCTGGCGCCTGTGACTCATCTCACACCCCCGCCCCCGCGCCGCCCCCACCCGAGGCGTGCCGTGCTGTGGCGTGCGCGAGAGCACGGCCGCGCAGGTCCCTATCTCATTCCCTCTAGCCTTACTTAGCAGGGGTGGGAAAAGGGGAGGTATGCATGGCGCCAGGAATGTTATTGAGGAAGCGAAGGAATGCGGGAGCGGACCGCGCAGACCGCAGGGATGACCCCAGTGCGGCGGGGTGCTCATCACAAATATTTCACGTGTGAGTCACAACCCTCTACTTTGCCCGCCATATTTTCTTTTCCGTCGAGTGGGCGGTGCGCTTGCCGACAGTGTGTTGACGTGATTCGCGTGGTATGCGCGCGCGTAGCGGAGGATGTGGAGCTCAGGCTGGCATCTCCCCATATCCCATTCGTTTAATTATCCTCCCTCTTCTGCCAGAAATTTTGTTGAAATAAACTCTAGTTTACAATGGCGGTTGAGGAACGGTATGGGCTCCAGGTTCTTCCCCCTTTATGCTAGTCTCCTGTGGCTGTCTCTACCCGATGGTTAGAGATACTCGTTTTGATAAAGTTTGCCGCTTGGATATTGCTGTTGCTGATTCCGTTCTAGTTTTGTTAAAGATTGCCGATTATCCAGTTTTGATAAGCCGATTGACGTTGATAAACGGAAGTTTAAAGTGTTTCAGTTTAAATTGTTTCAGCCCTGAAGTGGAATACTTCCATGTGTTTAACTTAAGTGTTTAGCACTTTCTAGTACTCCGAAAACCCAATAGTTAGCGTGGCACACTAAAAGTGTGCATGGTAGTTTAAAGACCGTGGGCATCGCATGCACTATGCACCCGGGCCAGAAAAAAAACGCTTTACTTTGACTTTTGCGCGATTTCCGCTTTGTCCGTCAGCAAAGTAAAACACCCGTGTTCGGCTAATGCAAGGCTGATAGCGCCTGAGGGGTAGGCAACATCTTGCCTGTCGTGCGCGCGTGTACTGCGGGCTGGCCTACCCTGAGTCTCGCAGGCGCTGAGCGAATGAACGAATGAATCTGAGATATAATGACGTGCTTTCTAGACGATCCCTACTGAGAAAAAAAAAGTCTCCCTCTAATGCACTACACGTCCTAAATTTCGTTTAGTGTAACCTGATATGTACTCCGGCTGTACGACCTGTACTCAAGCAGTATACTCCGACTGTACTCCCATGTACACTAAAAGCGGAGTTGTCGACCCCTCGGACGGGACCCACTCCTCCTCCGAGCTCCGGATGGGGAGGGGAGGGGGGAGGGAGGGAGTCTGCGCTCCCCCCGAGGTACGCCAGTCAGGCCCGCCCACTGAGCAGCCGCGTGCCATGGGCTTGCCTATCTGCCGGGGGCCCGGCAACTGTTGCCGCGTCGCAGGGGTGTCCGCAGAACTGTAAAAGTTTCTAAAAAGTTCTGTTACTTAATTGATTGTATTGTTTGTGGTGTGGATGTGTCAAAATCAAGTTAAAAATATGACCATGCATAGGTTTAATAGGAAACATACAATGCTCGGGAGGGAGAAGGCGGACGGG